AGGAGATTGTTTGTGTTTGTTCTTGGAAGTTTTGTCTATATAATTTAGGATCCGTTGCCTCCACTCTGGACAAGATCGCTGAGAACTTGCCAGCTTTGACCTCGCGGGAGCCGACGCACAGTGCCATCAAGACGATGGAAGACGTCGTGCACGGAGCGAAGGCAATGCTGGACAAGAGCCGACGTGCCGTTGCGATGGGTAATGAGCTTGTGAAGACGACTAAGGATGACCAGCCTATTGCAGATGCCCTGACGGATGCGGTGGACCTCCTTGGCCAGATGAAGGAGCACAAGAAGGGCTGTTCTGAGGCCATGAAGAAGCTGCAGGGCCTGCTGGTGTGATGCGGGCCTTGGGTCATCATACGCATGATCTCACAGCTAGGTCAAGAATTTCAAAGCAGCGGCGCGGCTGCAAGCACCACAAGCTTCACGGACCAACAAAAGCCTTGCTCAGATGTAGTCCCCCTTTAGTAGATAGAATATATTGCTGTGGGTGTGCTAGAGAAAGATCCCCATATATACCATAGTCACCCTTAAGTATATATATTCTATTTACTTAAGGGGGACTATGGATAGTTCGTGTTTTCCGAAATAAGGGCTGAGATCCATGTTGCCTCTGTCGCAGGCCGCGGCCGCTGCTGCCTGGCTCCGAGTGTGGCCTTGCCGGGAAAGCTAAAAAATGGAAATGGCATCTGCCTGCAACGTGTGCTGGGTTGATCTGTGAAGCTGCATGTTTGCAAATGTCTTTCTGCCTGGAAATTTATGTCCCAGAAATGGCTCGCGAGGCCCTAAACCCACAACCCTTGTCTTGCGTGAAGCTCTCGAGGCATTATTGGATAGGGCTTTGTCAGAAATCTTCGTTTGCAGTATGAGCCCAGCAAAGGCCAAGCGTCTCGCCTTAAACCCTTAAGTCTAAACCTTATAAATAAAACATGTTTCACAACAAAAAGCGTGGTCATGCGGAGGACCTGGCCTCGCCCTCCAAGAAACTTCGCAGTCGTGTGGAGAACTTGTACTTGAGTGGCCGACTCACTGGTCAGGATGCTGCGGAGCTGCAGATGGATGCCTCCGACTGCGGCATGTCGGGCTTCAAGCGTCGAAGTGTGGGCACGGAAGGCTGCAAACTTAACAGAAACGCGGCCAGAGACATGCTGCGCAGGTGCCTTCGCAAAAGTCAGTGGCCGGAAATATACGAAGCTGAAATTCGTGTCTGGGACGAGAAGCTGAACGTCACCAAGTACGCCAAGGTGGCCTTCATGCTGCCGCATGAGATTTTGAACTCTTTGTTCAAGAAGAACCCCAAGTTCAATTTCGAGGACTTGACTGCCGCGGCCGAGTCTGCGCGGCAGCACTGTCGGGATGTCACGGAAGGCTACGGCCAGACTATGATTCCGATGGCACTGTGGTGCGACGGCACTCCCTACAGTTGGGACCGGACATCTAGTCTCGAAGTCACCATGATGAGTTTGCCCGGGCTGGGGCCGCCCAACTCGACATGGCGTTTTCCCGTCACAGCCCTACCCAAGAATTGCATCGCCAAAGGAGAAACTTTCGAAGATATTTGGGAAATTGTGGCTTACTCCTGTCGGTGCTTGTTCCTTGAAGGCTGGGCGCGCCAAAGTAGCTGGGCACACGATTCCTCATCGCTGCGTTTTGGCTGAAGTTCGTGCAGACTGGAAGTGCTTGTCAGAAGTGTTTGGCCTTCCGAACTGGAAGTCCACTAGCGGCATCTGCGCGCGGTGTTCGGCAACACCGGAGTCTTTCCGCGATTTTTCCTCGGAAGCCGCTTGGCGTCGTGAGCGCTATGACCATGATGCTTTTGCGCAGCGCCAGCTGGCCGATGGCAAAAAGCTTTCAGGTATTTTCTCATGCCCTCACTTTGTCACGACGTGTTTCAAAATCGATTGGCTGCATGTCATGGACCTGGGATGCTCCCAGGATGCTTTGGGGAACATATTTTGGCACATTTTGCCTCAGCTGGGGCCCAATCAAAGCGCTCAGGTGGGTTTAGGGTTTAGGGCATGGCTTGTAGTACGTAAATTGTGCGGTTATAAGTGAAGCCTTCACCCTAAACCCTTTATATATGTGATAGGTCGTTATAATTGGAAATCTGTACGTTGTAAAATCGAACCCTGAGCAGGTAGCCGCCATGCACTTGGCAATGAAGCAGTACTACAGAGAAAACACGGTGCAGGACACCATTGACAAGCTGACTGTGACTATGATCCGGAAGAAGGCCAACGCAACACCCAAACTGAACGCCAGGGCGGCGGAAACCAGAGCTCTCATCCCTTTTGCGCTCCAGCTGGCTGAGAAATATCTAAGCGGTGGAAGCAAATTTGACAAAACTGTTCTTCGAACGATGCAGCATTTGGCCCATGCTTATGACTGCTTGAGCCGCGAGAACTGGAACGCTGAAGTTTTGCGAGTTGAGTGCTTCAAGTTTCTCAAGCGATACTGTTCCTTGGAAGATGCTAGTCAGGACGAGAACGCTTGGAGGATGAAACCAAAATTTCACATGATGGCTGAGATAGCCTTGGAGCTCGACAACCCTTCCTGCAACTGGTGCTATCGCGATGAAGAAGCAGGTGGAACCATGGCTCGCATTGCTTACGCCAAGGGCGGCAACGTTACTCCCTGGGCTGTCTCGAGCCGACTTTTGCGCAAGTTTTGCGCGGAGTTTCCAGTGCCAGTGTTGGTGTAATCCGACATGGGCAGTGCGCTTCTCAGGAAAAAACGAAGTCTTCGGGACCTTTCTGTGTGCCCCCTTGGAACTGCGTGCCTGTGTATATATTTTCTATTCTTATCCAGGGATTGCTGCTGAATGGCCTATGCCTTGTGTTAAAGTACTGGGCCACGTGGGAGGGAGGGAGGATGTGGCCTATTATCATATTTTTTGTGGAAACTTGAGCAGTAAATTGCCTGTTATTTTTGATTGTTGTGCAAATTTGAAGCATAAAATAAGCGTGTGTTGGCTCCCAAAATAAGCGTGTGTTGTCTCCCAAAATAAGCGTGTGTTGGGGCGAATAGAGGATTAATTTAAGCGTGTAATTTAAGCGCGTATAGTTGCTAATTAGCGCATTAAGCGCTAACAAGCGTGTATTGGAAGCTCAGGGCATACGTACTTCATGGCAAGTTTATGGTTGCCGTAGCGAGCGCCTGCAGGCGGTTCTACCCCTGCCAAACCCCCTGGGAACAACGGTACAAAGCAAAACTGTTTTACATTTATGCACCAATCCCCGCATATTAATCTTTTAAGGCGGCGGGGCGGGATTGATTATCCAGGTTTATCTTCTGTTGAAGTAGGTGTTGGAAATATGGAATATGAGAAGTGGACGGACACAAGGTGATACCGAATGCATGTTCATCTTGATTCGTGAGCGTAGTCTCCTTGTCCCATGCACCATCGTACCTTCGCCTGTGGCATCCGATGCCGGTGAGTGAGGGTCTGCACACACATTCTCCCAAATCTGAGGCTGCCACACCCAGAAAGGGTTCAGGTTTGCTGGAGGGTGCCACGCCCATGTTCCACCGGCAAAGCCAACCAGAAATTCCCTGCAACAGGCAGCTCCAGGGTACAGGCGCACTGGCTGTGTTTAATGCAGAAACGAATAAACCTATAGAATCCTGGATGGGGACTCCAGCATCTTTTTTATAATCTCCCCCTGATTTTTTAGGAACTGCGAATTGAGTAAGCTCAGGGTACTTGAAGTCACTTCTCAAACTGCTCTGCGGCAGACATTCTTCATTTGGCTTGAATTACTACGGAGTGTTACTAGGGTGAGCCCCATGTCGTCCTATGCCTACGACATGCAGGACTGATGGCACGCTCCCTCGTCAAAAATGGCACCCTGCCGGTACAAGCTCCAAAGTTCAAATCTCTCCCTGCTGACACGAAGCCCGGCCTCAAGCAAGTGAGGAAAATGAACGCGCTGCTCCAAACAATAAGGTGCCCCTTGACCTCCGTACCAGTCGAGCTGCAGCAGCTTAGAAGCACAGCAAAGCCGGGACAGCTGAGGGGCTGGCTCGGGTGTAAGTATCAAACTTCGGCGGTGGCGGGGACTGCCTGCGGACATGTCCTTTGCCACTGCCAACGCTTCGCCAAAAGCATCCGAGCGGCGTGTACTGGCGGTTCATCGCTCTCCACTCAGCAGACCTGTCAACGGGATCTGGTTGTACGACCCTTCCACCAAGACCTTGACGGCTGAGGTGTCCGGCTGGAAGTGCGGATGCCATGCTGCACCACTGTACTGGCCTGAAAGAGCATGTCTCGATCTGAAACCCTCTCTCGAAAGCAGGTCTGCCATTGCATCCCACGCGCCTGAATTGTTGAAGTCGGCAACCCCGGCCCGGCCAGAATGAACTGGTAGAACCTGATCACACCGATTTAGGCACATGCGGAGTTGGGCCACATGTCCCTACATGGGGGTTTCAACGATACTCAGGCACCCTGCGTGGGATAGATGCGGAGTACAAAAATATTTGGGTCCCGCTTGGGGATCAATTTCAAGTTGTCCTGAAAACTGCCAGGACCAGATTCCAGGTATCGTAGACACCTGACAGATTGCAGTATACTGTGCTATCTTGCATAGCTTCTGCAAGCTGTAGCAGGGGATACTTCTAGAACAGTACTACCGCTAATCCCTATGAACCCGGACTCCCTTTCATCTTCCATGTTCTTTTCCACTGGATTCTCTATTAATCCTGTATAAACCCTAAATACAACCATAGAAACCCTATCATATAAGCCCTATATTTAATCCCTATATAAGCCCTATGTAAACCCTATGTCACAGGACCTATGGAAGCCCAACATAAACCTAATCAGTTAAGCCCTAAGCCCTAAACCCTAAACCCCAAAACCCTAAACCCTAGCCCTTGAATTTCAGAGAGCCCCCGACTCCTGCTTCAAGGAGCTTCAGAGCCTGCCATCTGCAATCTGCGGCCAATGAAAATGCCCCAAATGGGCTTCTGGTAGGATTTAGGGTTTAGGGGGCTGAGGGTAGAGGCTTAGGGTGTAGTTTGGGGGCTTTGGGCCTAGAGTTTAAGGGGGAGAGAAGCCCTGAAGCACATCAAGCAGAAAAAGTGAGTCTAAAAAGCAGCGCTGCCTCATCAAACTCTGTGCTCAACTTGGCAAACTTCTGTTCAGCTTCAGCTTTCTGTTCACCAGGGGCTAGATCAGGATGATGCTCCTGCAGAATGCCAGAACCGTAGGCGAGTAAGCAGAGGAATCACTGGATAGGCCTGTAATTCCAGCATCCGAAAACCCTGAAACCAGAGACCTAAAATTCCAAATTCGAAGCCACAAACCCTACATGATAAACACTGAAGCCCCAAATATGCCTTTTTGTCCTTCTCTGGTCCTCATCGTCCCTATACATCTCCACGTATCCCCAAATGGCCCCTATGAACCCAGATTCCATGTAAATCTCCACGCTTACCATTTGATTCTCCATTTTTGGGGGACCCTATACAACCCCTACGTAACCTTATACCAACCCCCCTTATACCCCGTATGAAATCCCTATTTAATCCTATATATCCCTACAAAACCCCCTTTTTAAATGCCCTAAACCCTTGTATAAGCCCTAAACCCTAAACCCTTGTATAAGCCCTATGAATCTGGCCTTGGCTTTGTCCCTGTAAGCCGCCTTCAGCACTGAAATTGCAGACTTCGACTCCTCCAGCGATGAGGTCGAGGGTCTAACCCAGGGATTCATATTGGGGATAATATAGGGATAATGGAAATGTACATGGAAACTACTATAATGGGCTCTATAGGGTTTAGGGTTTGTAGACCCCTGATTAATTAACTCCCTGCCCTTAACAGGGATTATAATAGGGATCCTAATATTAAAGCCCTTGAAATTAGGGGGTTTATCAATCATGGGCCTAAATTAGGAAGCCTTTTTGGGCAGATTTTCATGAGGCTTACTGGGATATGTAGGGTTTGGTGGAGATTAAGGTTGAAGGATTCGAGTTTTGGACTGCAGGGGTTTTCAATGTGGCAGGCCCTTCGGGCCCTGATGACATACAGGGGACACAGAGGGATTATGTAGCGGAACCACCTTGAGAATTTTGGGGCTTACTTTGAGGGATTCCCTTCTGCAAACCGGTACGCTAACAAACCCGAAAGTGACCTCAGATTCGAAAAAAGGCTATGCTCTCCCCGCATACTTCCATGGCTTCTGAACCCTAATCACCCAAGCCCCTGCAATACTGACTGGTGCTTAAGGAAGTGGGGGAGCGGATCCCCTTTAACAATGCCCATGTAATCCCCATATGTACATACATACATACATACATATATATATATACATATACTCCTATAATGGTACTTATATTCACTCCCCTACTCCACCTTTAGCACCAGTAGGGCAAAGGAATGCGCCACGCCTGCTTTGAGAGCTCGATCGGGCAGAGGCCGAAGCCCCGAAGCCTCAGCTTAAGCCCTTTGGCTCAGGACTTGGGTTTGAAGTTTCCTCTAAAGCCGATCTTATGATAGATGGGGTTTAGGATTTCGGGTTTAGGGTTGAGGGTTTAGGGTTTAGGGGTTTAGGGTTTAGGGTTTAGGGTCCAGGTTGCTGGCCTGGGCTTGGGTTTGGGGTCTTCAACTTCGGCTGGAGTCCTCAAGAGGTGGATGATGGGCAATCCCGAGCAGGGTGACTGCCTCAAGGGGATTTCATGAAGGGGCTGCTAGAACTTTTATGGTTCTTGTTTGTGGTAACTGTTACTGTAAGGGGAATGACGTAAAGTAACTGTCCCGATACCTACAGTATACCCCAAAAAATATGCATGCTCGCGCAGAGCCCCCAAAAGGACCAACAATGCTGAGCACTCCCAAAAAAAATGCTGCTGGCTGAGGGGCCTCTATGCCAGTCACCGAACGCTCCAACCCTGAAACTCGCCAAGATGCAGTGACGACAATCGGACCGCTCTGACACCTCAAATTGTCCAACACCGAGAGGCCCATTAGGGTCAAGGGCTTGCTCCAAAACATGAAGTTTTGAATCTTCTGAGTCTCGGGCTGGCAGCCATGAACAAAGGCAGTAGACATCGGGTCTACATATTACATATGAGTTGCTTCTTTTGCTTGTGCGCTGCCGTCGGCAATGTCTCAACATGTAGTCAGTCCTGCATGGTTTTGGCACAATCGGCACACTGCGCTTTTGCGGAGGCCTTCTCATATCTGACCACCGAAAACCAGAGGAGAGTACCCTCTAAGCGCAGCTGTTCCGCTGTGCTGTTTGAGTAGGGTTGAACTGCTCGCTCTGCACATGTTCAACTGCGAAGGTTGCGAGAACTTTTGCTAATCTAGCTAAAGCCGGCCATCGTTATGCGCTGCAACAGCTTGCCCAGCATGTCAATACATGTCAAGACATCTTCTGCAGGGTCAGCCACGCATGCTTACAATTCTTTTCTTCTGTGCGGCTGAAGTGTTTCCTGGCACTGATGTCAGGCGGCGCACAGCTTAACCTCGGGATTTCAGCAAATTACTGGCTTTATGAACATTCCAGCCACACGCAGAACATATCACGGAGATAAGCAGAGAGTGCCAGGCTGTGGGAGTCTTCGGACAGCAGTAATCTGGCATCAAATTTGAGAAGTGGACTGTTGCGTACGACACCTGCATGGATACTGCTCGGATTTTGTAGAAACGTGCCAGGCCCGCCCTCTGGAATGCTGCTGAGGGCCTGCATGGCATAAGATTTCTGATCTCCATCAAGGTCGTGCTAGACACACGCGTTGCCATTCCTGAAGTTCAAGCTCATCATTGTCACCGGAATGTCCACTCTCGCGATATCGTTCAACGACACGCGTGCACCTTGCAGAGCAGAGACAAACGCGCAGGCTTGAACTCTAGCACTCTGGGCGGTGCATGGAACAACCACTGAGAGCATCGCAAACGCTTCCAGGGCATGGCACCCGACTTCAACTCTTCGTCGATGGCGCGCTTCCAGCCTCCCACAGCCATCGTACCAAGGCTCTCAAATAATTAGGGTGTGCTAGGAGGTCAAAGGTAACAGGGGCTCTGGAGGCATGTAAGAGGGCCCGCAATCGTTGGAGCTGCAATGATGTCCAGCTGCGCGTGCTTCAAAACCCAACCCGCTTCAAGTCCTAAACGCCAAACCATCCCAAACCCCTAAACCCTCAACCCCTAAACCCTATATCCTTAAAACCCTACACCCTAAACCCTATATATCCCATTATGGTAGTTTCCGTTTTCTTCTCCATTATCCCTATACAACCCCTATAACTGGCCCAAAATATACCAGAATATACTATAGTATACTATAATACACCATAACATACCATAACATACCATCATATACTATAATATACCATAATATGACCCTTAACTCTAGACCCTAAACCCTGAACCCTGAACCCTCCGCCTGGCCAGCCTGCCCTCGCAGGCGGCTTGTTCTCTTCGGCAGCTGCAGGCCCTGCATGACCGGGAGGCTGCTTTCAACCAGCAAATATAAAGCAAAAAGGGTCTAGGGTTTGGGGTTTAGGGGTTTAGGGTTTAGGGGTTTAGGGGTCTAGGGTTTAGAGTTTAGGGGTTAGGGGTTTGGGGTTTAAGGTTTAGGAACTACAATCACATATTGGGGATATATTGGGATAATGGATGAGAACATGGAAACTACGAGAGTATATCGGGTTATATAGGGAGAATGGAAGACAAAATGGAAACTAATAGAGTATATTGGGCTCATATAGGGAGAATGGAAGAGAAAATGGAAACTACTGGAGTATACTGGGGTTATATGGGGAGAGCCATGACGATACTTGTAGATGTTCCGGGAGACTCAACAGCCAGAACTAGAAGGGCGGAACTGGCAATCTCTGAGATTTCTTGAAAGAAACCGAAGCACATGCCTGCTGCTCCAGTTGGCTTTCCATTTACTGGCTTGGCGTTTGCAACCGCAATCACATCCCACATTGCATCGATCCTGAGAAAGGGCTTTGGAAACATGATCCTCTGCTTCGAATCTAAGGCACTAACTTGGGCTGGTCCCAAATCTTGAGGGAGTTCTTAACCTGGGCCATACCACATGCCAGTCACACTTGTTGAAAGCAAACCCCCATAGGCTGGCTTGGGTTCCTGCAAAGTTGCCAAAAGGCTTCTGCTTCCGGGGGATGTTGTCAAAACCTGAGCTGCCCTACGAGTAGCAGAACGGCCAACACGCATATACTCCCAACAAGACGCCTACAGTTGGGGAATATCCCTAAACAAAACCGCAATGCTACACCGTAGGTCCTCATTACCACAAAACTCCGCTAAGTCTGCTGACTCCCACGCTACTGCAGGCACGGAACCCAGCAGTTTCTGGACCAAATTCCTGCACAAGAGATTGCAGGATTTCCGGATCATTGTTTGCATGTTGTTTAGGAATTGCAGAGAGCTGGATTCAGAGATTGGAGGTGCCCAGACGGCTCAGAGTTGCGGGTTTAGGCCACTGCTTTCTGGCTTGGGAAATGCCAGAGGCAAGCCTCCATATACCTCCGAAATTACATCATCCTAAAAACGGGGCCCATACCATCATGTCAGCAGATACCCACTAAGAGTTCAAATCCCAACCGCTTCCTAAACCCAAGACAAGCAAAAAAAACGCTAAACACTACAAAAAGCCACAGCTCCAAATCCAATATCTTCCTGTTTACATAAATATATATATACCCATATTACCCATAACCCTAGATCCCCATGCACGTCCTACATATCTATTACCTCTATTACCTGCTTTAAGGGACCCCTCTTGACATGTGAGAGTACACCCCGGTTCGCCTGATCTGCGGAGCAATATCGCTCTGTGGGTCTTCAATCGCTCGTCGCACCCCATCCACCTACAGCGCTGTAACACGGTTTAGGGTTTAGGGTGTAGGGTAACACAATCCTTCGTCTTGGTTGCTTTGCCTCATCACGTTGGGGTTATATTGGGGTCATATTGGGGATAATGGAAAAGAAAATGGAAACTACCATAATGGGTTTATATGGGGATTATTTAGGGAATATATTCTGCCACGGCTACCATATGAACGCTACCCCCTTGGTCCTAAAAACCTCAAACACCCAATGCCCTAAAGCCTTCCCTAAACCCTAAAACCCTAAGCCCTAAGTCCCAAGCGCACCTGCTGACATGTGTCATAGCCGAGCCCGTGACCCAGGTGTCTTGCTTCAGCTGCCCCTTGTTGGTGCTCCTGGCCCCGGGTATCTCAAAAAATAGCAGCTATTATGTCATCATACTGCTTAGGGTGTAGGGTTTTAAGGTTAAGGTGAATTTGGGGTTTAAGGTTTAGGTTTTATAGCGTTTGTATTGGGATGTATGAGGGAATATTACCCTTTACCCTACATTACCCTACTAATGGACAATCACAACACAGGTCTCTGTCTTATGTGATCCCAACGAGCTTGATGCTGGCAAGTCTAGCTGGGGCCCAGACTCTTTGGCTTGATACAAGTTGCCCTGCCATCAGATTCATGCAAATTCGGAGGAAACCATCAAATTCTGAGGAAGCCATCGAGTATGCACAGTCTCGAACCACGAATGAATGCCATGTGAAACGCAATGGCTTATGGTGGGAACCGTAGCACGCGCCTGGTACTTCTGCGCTTCTGACATGCAGCTGGTGTGCTTTTCCCATTCATTCCACGCGAAAACCTGCACGAAGACAGACACTTCTCAATCATGACTGACTGTTGATGCATCTTCTGGCTGTTAACGGCGCCTTGGAACAATCGATGCAGCTCACCCAAGAGCTCCCACAACCTGACTCTGGCGCACGGCCTTCTTCCCAAGCCCAGCATGCAGACGCTTCCAACACAAGAATAAAGTCAAGCAAGCGTCTTTGCAGATGTTTAGCCAGCTTTGGCTTCTTCACCTCGTTTGCCATGCCATCACGCCAACAAAAAGCATTTATGATCCGCTAGTCTTGTAAACAAGCACAGAACCAAAACGACACGTTGGAAATGCTGTAGCCAAAAGAGACCGGAAGTAATTTATGGCACCTCTCCTACGCGCCTGCGCTTCTCTGCCTCGATTTATTACAAAGATAGCTGCCACACAAAAAAGGTGAAGGCGCTGGCCTCCTAAGCTCAAGCTGAAGATCAGATGAACAACCACCAACACTGCATCCAGGACGCTGTTTCATTGCACCTTAGCTGGACTCATCTAGCCGTTGCTCCCACAATAGCCCTGCTCTGTGAACAAGCGAGCGGCAAGCCACACTCAAAGTAAACCATTGCTGCCTACCATGAAGACTGCAGGAACCGCAAGAAGAATATGTCACATGCTAGCCCATCGGCCATGTCCTAACATGCTACCCAACAAGAACCAGGCCAGTTGCATTGTTGACATGTAGTTCAGTTTACGGGTGTGGGCGATCCGCACAACTTAGGGACAGTGTGTATCAATCTTGCTTGTCATTCTGCATTGTGTAAGCCCAATCAGCTGCAACATCAAACTTTCAGAAAGACTTAAGCCAGCCTTCATGCAGCGAACATTTGGCATGCGAGCATATGCAAGCTCTTTCCTTGCTCATCAGGCTGATTTAGCGCCTGGAAGATAGTGTACAGGCGCCAGCTCGTACGTACCGTACGCGCAAGGGGGCTTCGGGTACCAAATACCTTTCTGATTAACCTTGTATTCTAAGCCATATATAACCCATTCTTTCAGTAACCCAAACTCTCAGTCTGTGGACCCTCAGGGGAGCTTAAGTCAGAGACTGTGGGTGAAGAATTGCTGAGACACATGTCAAGTCAAGGGATACCCCCAAGGACACAACCGGGAACGGAATTTTTTGCATTCTGTAGCGAAAGACCACCCCAGCAAGGACAGCAGGCGCATGGAGATTTTGTGCAGCAAAGAGGCAGCACGCTTGAACTCAAACAAGATGTAGTCATCGTAAAAACCAGTGGCAATGGCAGGTAACTTCACCACTAAGATGCGCAGTATGGCTAAGGCACCTTGTTAAACCCAAAGACACTGGCTGAGGCGCTGAACGGCAGTGACAGCGAATGATAATGCAACCAAGAACCCTTTCCGCTTGGAAAGCCAAAACAGCATGTTTCCGCGATTGGAGATGGACCCCCACTTGCCGATAAGCTTTGCTGGTTTAAAATTTTCCCCAGAGGGGAGGCCTGGCCTTCATGCAAAGGGTCCCTTCCATCCGGTAAGAGAAACCGGACATGACCCCAATCCTGCAAGGCGCGAGCATCTCTGCTGCAGTCTCAGCCTCAAGGTCTTTCAGATCCTGTGGATCCAAAACCGTCGCGTGCGCCTCAGCGCTTCCCTTCTATTGGGGCTTTGAGTTTCAAGCTGTTCAGGCTCAACGGTAGAACATTTGCGGCACTTCGCAAAGAGGGAGCAAGGCGGCTCTTCCCCTACTAGGTGAACCTCCTCAACGAGATGGTCAACCACACCTAAACGCTGAAACCCAGTCTGCTTCAAAAGGTTGCTAAAGAGGCATATGGCCTTGCCCTTCGTCACACGTCTGACATCGAACGCATGGCCCTGAGGCATCGCTCTTCCTCGGCCAAATTAGTGGCCATATCGTTGACCTCCTTCAAAGCCTCAAACCTCTGTTTGGAAATGGCCACAAGGGCTTCCGTTAAAACCATAAAAAAAGTTTTTGCTAAGAGGGTCACGCAACCTAAGGGTCTCATCTCCAGGGCACTGGAGGTGCTGTGCAACTCCAGGTGTTCTTACATGATATGACACACCCGCAACATCTCTTGGCTGAAGAAGCTTCTGATGGATCTGCAGCGACCGCCGTTTTGGAGCAATCAGCCTGGGCTAGCAGCGACTTTGATTGGTGCTGGGCAGACGCACGTACGTGAGCACCAAGGGCCTTGGCACGGCGCAATGCCGGACGGATGGTGGAAGAGGCGCACACAGCAACTGAGGCCTTTTCGCACAAGAAGCGACACATTCAGCATCTTCTTTGGTGCGGTAGCGCCAGCATCCCGAAACACGTGTTGGTTTCCAAAGCAAACGCGCGCGCTGATTGTCGCAGTAGAGCTGCGAACCTTACCAAAGCCCCTCACTGCAATGCTCGACAGGGGAGGCGAACCGAGGCCATATACACTTTGTTAGCTGCAGCAACCTGTTCTGCCTCAAAAGGTCGCAATCCCTCAAAGCCAACGGTCCACGGAGAGGGCGAGTGCCCTGTCCTCCAGGAAGCGGTTTCTCGCGTGCTCGCGAACAAGTGCCGCACGATAACTCTAAGTGGCACCAGTCCACAGAAGAGGAGTCGTCGAATTGTAGCAGAACATCCATGCTTTCGGACTCACTCAGGATCACCGCTGTGAATCAGCATGATGCTTGATCAATTGGAATCGAGCCCCATCCCGATGAAAGTATTAATGATGACAATCCAGCTGAGCCTGCGCAGACCTCCAATCCAAGAGCAACGGAGCTTGGCGTGCCAGGTTTGGCGAAGATCGAAGCTGCTTTCTAGCCGGCGCACAATCCTCACCGGGGCTCTGATCATCCAGGAAGTTGCAGCCCGACGGGAGGCTTCCAGCCCTATTCGAAGGAGAGTCAAAGTTAAACAGAATCTGAGCATCTCTATCAAACTCTGCTGCGTGTAAATGTCTCGAGATTGCTGTCTTTCGTTCCACTGTTTCTTATAAGTTAGAGTTGCTTTTCGTTGAGTCGCTCACGTTG